AGATTCTCATGAGCGGCTCCGTCAGGAAGCGGGTAATGGCCCTAGGGTCCACTGGTATCCAAGAAGAAGGAAAGAAATACAGAAGAACGGGAAGAGAAGGAAGAAAGGTCTAGAGGAAAAAGAAGAAAGCACAGAGAGGCGTTAAGAAAACGGGACCTCCAAAAATGTAAGCTACATTTTGGGACGCCCCTGAACCGGTGGTATGTACCTATGACATTGAAAGGCAACATATGAAAACTACAAACCTAAAGAAGCATCCGGGAACACCAGCCAAGAAAGTGTCCATGCAAAGACTCTACGGCAACTGAGAGGGGAGAAGGGGGGCACGAAAGAATCCAGCAGTAGAATGCAGCAGCAGATTCTCATGAGCGGCTCCGACAGGAAGCGGGTAATGGCCCTTGGCCCACTGGTATCTAAGAAGAAGGAAAGAAATACAGAAAAGAACGGGAAGAGAAGGAAGAAAGGTCTAGAGGAGAAAGGGGAAAACACGGAGAGGCGTTAAGAATACGGAACCTTCAAAAATGTAAGCTATATTTTGGGACGCCCCTAAACCGGTGGCATGTACCTAGACATTGAAAGGCGACATATGAAAACTACAAAACTAAAAGATGCATCCGGGAACAGCAGTCAAGAAAGTGTCCACGCAAAGATTCTACGGCAACTGAGAGGGGAGAGGGGAGGCACATATATATAGGAGAAAGAATCCAGCAGTAGAATGCAGCGTCAGGAAGCGGGCATTGGCCCTGGGCCCACTGGTATCTAAGAAGAAGGAAAGAAATACAGAAAAGCACGGGCAGAGAAGGAAGAAAGGTCTAGAGGAAAAAGGGGAAAACACAGAGGGGCGTTAAGAAACCGGAACCTCCAAACATGTAAGCTACATTTTGGGACGCCCCTAAACCGGTGGTATGGACCTAGACATTGAAAGGCAACATATGAAAACTACAAACCTAAAGATGCATGCGGGAAAAGCAGCCAAGAAAGTGTCCATGCAAAGACTCTACGGTCAAATGGCAACTGAGACAGGAGAGGGGAGGAACATATAAATAGAAGAAAGAAACTAGTAGTAGAATGCAGCAGCAGATTCTCATGAGCGGCTTCGTCATAATGGCCCTAGGGCCCACTGGTATCTAAGAAGAAGGAAAGAAATACAGAAAAGAACGGGAAGAGAAGGAAGAAAGGTCTAGAGGAAAAAATGAAAGCGCAGAAAGGCGTTAAGAAAACGGAACCTCCAAAAATGTAAACTACATTTTGGGACGCCCCTACACCGGCGGTATGCACCTAGACATTGAAAGGCAACATATGGAATCTACAAATATCTACAGAACTAAAGATGCATATGGGAAAAACAATCAATATGGAAAATTGAAAGCCAGGAAAGGCTACCAAAAGGTCAAAAGGCTTTGGAATGGCTCAAAGGCTTGAAACTAGGTTGGGTTGTGGAGGTGGGAGATGGCCAGGGTGGTTGGGTCATAAGAAAACCAAAAGAAACGTGTAACGCTTATGGTTTTGTGTTTTGACTTTGATATAGTTTTGATATGATTTTGGTATGGTTTTCCTTTTCCGAAGGATGGAGGCAGGTTCCCCAAAGCCACCTGGAAAGGCTACCAAAAGGTCAAAAAGCTCTGGAGTTGCCCAAAGGCTTGAGAAAAAAACAGCAAATCACACCAAAACAATAACGAAACCATAAAAAACTAAACATACTTTACATACATGCTTCTGTCACTGGCTTGGAAGTCTTAAAAATAGCAGGAAGAAAAGGAAGAAGGTCTAGAGCAAAAAGGTAAAACACAGAAAGGCGTCAAGAAAACGGAACCTCCAAAAATGTAGCTTACATTTATTCCAAAAAATATAACATACATTTTTTAAGGTGTCCCTAAGAAAATGTAACTTACATTTTTTAAGCCCAAAGTTGCAAAAAATGTAGCTTACATTTAGACAGGTCCCCCCCCCTTAGGGGTGGGGATATAAGAATGAGCTCGCTTTCGAAACGGTGTCGGTGCTGGTGCTGGTGTTGTGGTCCTGGGTGCTTGTGCTGTGAGCTGGCTGAACGCGCGTTTAAGATGGGCGGCGGCGCTGGTCGGGCGCTGGCGCCGCTGCCGGTGTTGTCAGCTGGCAAAGCGCACCGGTGCTGGTGTCAGCTGATTGTGCGCGCTGTGGAGGTGCCGTACGCTGGCTATGCAGGCTGCGTCATTCTTGTTCCAGCCAGTCGTTTGTCAACAGGTCGTTGGGATTCTGCCTAGCTATCTGGGTCTATGCTGGTGTATTTTATTTTTGTTTGTTGTGTGTGCACTTTGGTGGACAGGAGGGATGGACCCGTGCCACGTCAGCAGCCTGGTGAGCACTTTTGGGTTGTTGGTGGCTGCTTAGTGAGTCGCAGCGAGACGGCGACGAAGGGCGGTCCTCCTGCCTTCGTTCCAAGGTTCCTGCTGCTGGTTTGAGCTTCCACTCATGTTTGCGAGAGGACTGGGATCCCGCTGGTGAGAGGGGCCGTGGTTATGACTACTTGCCATCTTGCCAAGGCACTGGCTGCGTGACTGGGATGCACATGGGCTTCGGATCGGGTGAGAATAGGTGAGATATGATAGGGTGCCGAAGGACCAAAGGATGTACAGCGGTGAAGAACACCGAAGAAAACAATTTTAATAAAGCGAAGCACAGGAGTTGGTGCACTTGTGGAGTTCAGTGTATGCCGTGTCATTGGAAGATCCGCTCTTCAGGTCAGGGGCTGCCGTGTCTCAGAGCCTGGCGCCTGCAATAAGAGCCGTTTGGAGGTCGGCGAGGTTTGCCCCATTCAGTGCGAGAGGAATGGCTGGACACTCAGTTCGACATTTGCCAAATCACAATTGGGTTATGGTTATTATAGTCTAGAGTCTATATAGTGAACTTAGATTAATATATATAGATGAATTCAGCATTGAGATGCATTGAGTCAGTGAAGATATGTGAAGATTATATAAGTATGTCAAGTGAGTTCAAGTGGCCAACCAGCGACAGGGTTTGCTTGCATTGGCCTGTTGTTGTTCATTCCGGTCTCAAGACCACAGTATCGCCTCCGTCTTGTCACACTGTGGGAATAGAGCCCAACAAGGTGTAAGGTATACAAATGTCATCAAGGGTTGAGAATTGTCCAAAGAAACGTTTTTACGTCTTTGGGGCCAAACAGGCTTGCTAGAGAAGGCAGCCGAAGGGTGTAAAAAGGGCAAGATTTGCATATAGTCTGCAAAGAGTAATTCAGCACTGCTGGCTGGTTTGCGGACGACCTGCTGGCTTCATACTGTAACGGACATGCACGCTGACATGGGCTCACATAAACATCATGCTTCTCGGCTTCACTTTTGCAAGGTGCCCAATGCTTCTGGTCAGAGCGATCCATGAAAACAGACCAGTGTTGGCCAACACTGCAAGTGAAGAGAGACCAGTCCAGATTTTGCAGGTGCAAGAGCTAACCCACTCTAATCAATGCTAGGCTGTCAGCTTGCAGTGGGGGTGACAGGCCTGTATGAGTGGCTGAGACGCTCAAAGAAGCTACAGACGCCATTGATCATCCTCCTTCGCCATGCTGCATGCCAATTGTGCCGGTAGAGAGTCCACTGATTCCAAGCTTCCCCTCAGTGCTCAAGGATGCACCGAGGGGCACGAAGCTGTCAAAAACCACTGAATTGGAGCAGAATTTGCAATGACCAAGAATTTGCAACCAGTAGACAGACGACACGACGAAAAATGAATCCTTTCCAATAACTGGATTTTCAGCTTTTGGTTGCTTTCGACTCCATCCACCATCCGCTGTCGTCCGAGGTTGGGTAAATCTGACCTGCGACGGATTTGCGTGGCCTGAGCTTCGCCAGGTTGAATGTTTAGCCCAAATCGTCTATTGCGATGCTCGGCTCAGCCAAAGTTTTGGACAGTTTGGTGTTTGAAGCGCTACTCTGAGCGGTGACGCCAGCAGTGAGTTGCACAGGACTCTGGAGATATGATAAGCCAAATGGATGCAAAACGTGTACCCTTCACCCGGCACACTTCATTTGTTGAGTA